AATTCCAAAATGAATGTCTAATAATTAGGCCATAGAATATTAATGATGATGAAAATGACAATAATAGTAACAATGAATTCCATTTCTCATTATGATACTGCCTTGAATGTGCATGAATGTAGGTTATCTGCTATTAAAAGTCTGTTACTTTATGAAAAATAATTGTATAGTTTGCATCAAACAAAAATGAAGCATTGCAGTAAGAAATATTTATTTTGTACTGCTGTTTTTATATGCATGTCAATTTAATAAATAATATTTCTGATACAAAACAAACAAAAGATTATAATAAATCAGGTAACACTTTACAATAAGGGTGCATTAGTTAACATTAAATCATTCAATTCAATGATGAAAGCTGCAAAGCAGTCATCAGTCAATAAATAAAAAAATAATATACAACTCAAAAAAGAATAGACAAAAGAAAGTAAGTAAAGTCTCACTTCTATCACTCTTTAAAAGTTTTGGTTTCAGTTTGTGTCAATTTAAAGGTTCAGTCTGAGCTGATCTTCATTTTTCTGTGTTTGTGGAAAGCAGGCGAGTCAGCCGACTTAATTAATAAGTAGGCAGCGCAAGATTATTGCGCTAACCATCGGCGCAAATCCGGTCTTTGTTATGAACCGCAGTTTCAGTGTAAACTTAGTAAAGGCGAGCTTCTTTGGCGATGATGCAGTATTAGATTTGACTTTTAGCGGACATTTGGGCTGAACACGCAGTGAATGCGACGCATGGAGATTCGGGCACCTTCTCCAAGAAGCGCGTACTCGATTGATCTCAGCTGGCGGATCATTATTCACCACGTGACGTGTCATGATCGCTTTCATCTGCGCCTCAACTTAGGTGGGGTTTTCAAACTTGTGCTTTAAGTTTTTACTCTTAAGCCGTTTGCATTTCCTGTGGTCATAAAAGCTCCTTCCCTGTCATCTGACAGCGGAAAACCTTGAGTGAATGACAGCTAATATGAACCAATATAGCGGCAGGGAAGAGCGATTCAGCACGTTTTTACAAAAAATCAAAACAGGTCGCACTACAACCATTATCTGCAGTCGCACTAATGCTCCCAGATATATTATGAGGTCGCATAGATTAATTTTCGGGCGCATATGCGACCAAAATGGTCGCAATTTCGAGCCCTGTACTGTTAATAATGTAATTATTTTGTATGACTAAAATCAGGCTTAATAGATTTATTAATAATGTTCAGCTGTTACATTTTGCCAGTTTTCAGTTATTGCATTGGCAGCTGACTGATTTCATATTGATTTCTGAAGCATTTAAAAATGACTGCATCAGTCTTGACTTAAGTGAATCAGACTGAACCAGAATGCCATTAGGCTGTAGACTTCTGTCTTTTGTTAAAGACTATTCAGAACACACACAGCTTATCAATTTAGTGCAGATTATTACTTGTGTTGATGAGTTACTAGAGCTAAGATATATGTAAATTTATATACATACAAATAAAACTGAATATTGATGTCTATCTTTGGTTTGTGAACTACACAATAACAAACTGAAATACCATTTAAATACATTAGAATAATGAAATGAGTCTATCATGTCATCTGTGGTTTATTAGATTTTTTTAATTTTTTTATTTTTTTTTAGAAATTGATTGAATGAGGCTCTCAGGAGGTGTACTCTGGCGGATTGGTCAGGTGAGTTGTGTATTCTAGACTCATTGCCCCTCTGTGTGGTCTGTGTTTGTGTGTGTGTATGAGGGGCGAGGGTTGATTCAAACTTCCCGACACTAATCTATGTCGTCAGGACTCTAAACACACATAATGAGATTCACCTCCCCCTTAATGAGGCTGATAATCACTGTTTGACTACCACCTCACACTAATTGTCAGCAGATGTTTGTGTATTTGTAAAGCTGTATTGTGGTGGTAATTAGGACTAATGTTGACGAAAGATAAAAAATAAAGCTTTATCTAGCACTTGTCTAACACAAACATGTCTACAAACCACTCAGGAAGACTGCCTTGTTGAAAAAAACTTTGCAGAGGAGTTTTGATTAAACCTCATTAATTTATTTTATAATGAAACTGCCAGTTTCATATTTGTCTGAATTACTGAAAAATTTCTATTATTAGGTTTAGTAAATTACAATTTCGGATTTGGTAGAAAGAAATTTTGACTTTCATATAGTTTTACACCCTTACACCCCAAATTTACATTATTTTATTGTCCAAAATGTTTATTAAATAACTCTTCAGAAGTGGATTCTGTTGCGCAGACTACCTTTGTTTCATATTTGTTTACAAAAAATGATCATTTGTACCCAACCTAAAATGTTAATTTTGTAGAACTTTTTTTAACTACAAAAACATTTAATCGTTCATTCATTTTCCTTCAGCAAGTCTCTTCATTTATCAGGGGTCGCCACATCCGAATGAACAGTCAACTTATCTAGCATATGTTTTACAATGCAACCCGGCACTTGGAAACACCCATACACTCACATTCACGCACATACACTACCACCAACTTAGTTTATTCAATTCACCTATACCACGCGTCTTTGGACTGTGGGGGAAACTGGAGCAACCAGAGGAAACTCGCGCGAACACAGGGAGAACATGCTATCTCTACACAGAAATGCCAACTGACCCAGCCAGAGCTCGAACCAGTGACCTTCTTGCCGTGAAGCGACAGTGCTAACCCCTGAGCCACCATGCCTCCTATTTTGGGTAGATTTTCAGATACATATATTTTCACATATATGTCCTAATATTTGAAGCTTTTGTTAAGATAAAACATAGGGCTGGGCAATTAATCGAAAGGTAATCAAAATCGACATTCAGAACCTATAATCAAAGACTATAGCATACACAAGACATGTCACTCAAATATTTTTTAAATGTCAATATTGCGAATGAAGCCCCGCCTTCTAGTACAGTAGCCAATCAGCGATCGCTATATGGCGAATAAAGCCAGCCTTCTAGTACAGGAGCCAATTATCGCTCGTTATAGACTGAATACTAAGAGGAAAGGGCTCAGACCAGAAATGAGTTTCTGCAGATTTTTTGTAATACGAATATTTAGAAATGATACTAAATAGACAGTTGTTGTTTAATTTTATTGGTTATTCGAAATATGAAATGGAATCGTAAGCTTACCAAGTAATTTTGGAGAATTTGATGTTTCCCCATTCAAGCAGGAGTCGTTGGAATAATTAGGCAAAAAAAATGCATATTATAAGGCAATGAAAGTGTTTTTTGACCTTGAATGGATATAAGCCTGCTATTGGAGAACCCCAAAATCAAAATCTGACCTTTTTTAATGCATAATAGGGGCTCTTTAACAAGATTAATGCAACAAAAGTTAAACAAACCACTAGCGTGCAGTGCAGGCTTCATTACTGAACCATCAAAACTGCAAAAACCTCATAAATACCCATGATTGTAGATGATTAAACTGACACATTTGTGTATTAATTTCGTGGAAAACACACAAAACAGCTTTTGATTGATAAACTTATTCTCTTTATTTGATGCAAAATAATCAACACAATTTTAATCCATATGTAGAATTAAAATGTAACTTTTGAACAGTAATTTATTTTTATGAAATTGTGAAAAATACAAGCATTGCAGTGATGCTGCATAAGCTCTACTACACACTGTATATAAAAAAAAAGTCAACTTAACAGTTGAAAGTTACATCGGGTTTATTCACTAAATCAACTTATAAGGCAACAGTTTTACGAGCTTTTTTGTAAAGTGAACTTGTCATTTTTAAATTTGACAAAAAACTCAGTTTACTCACTTTTATGTAAAGAAATGTAAATGTAAAGAAAGTTTTTAACTGTGTAAGAAAATAATTTTCAGAATGTCTTATGCTGAAGATGTACCTAATGACAAATTTACAGTGTCTACATCAGGGGTCAGCAATCTTGTTCCTGGAGGGCTGGTGTCCCTGCAGGGTTTAGCTCCAACTTGCCTCAACACACCTGCCTGGGTGTTTCAAGTATACCTAGTAAGACCTTGATTAGCTCATTCAGGTGTCTTTGATTAGGGGTGGAGCTAAAACTAGCAGGACACCGGCCCTCCAGGAACAAGTCTGGTAGCCCCTGGTCTACATGTTTGCAAAAATGAAAAGAAATTGTATAAAAGCCTCTAAAAAGGCATAAATGTCAAAGTAAGTTAAAGAGCACATAATATAAACAAATATAATTTATTATAATGCATTCACTGCATGGAGCCATAGCTTGGTTGCTAGCACTTCAGTGTGTACATAATTATTTACTTATACATTACCTGACAAACGTTTTGTTGTCTATCCAAGTTTTATAAAGAATGAATGATAACTTGACTTCTAGTTGATTATTTGGTATCAGAAGTGGCTTACATGAAAGGCAAATGCCTTTAGATTACACTTATTTTACCAAAATAAAATATTACCATGCCTTTATTTTTAATGATTTAATTAGGACACTAAGGTCTGGCTTTGCTTAGACAAAATCTTCTCAGTTAACAGAAATAATGTACAGTATAGAATATAAAGTCATGGTGCATTGGAAAAAGAATGAATATTGTGTATGATACTCATGAGCTTGGAGGACTGCATCCAGACATCTCTGCAATGACTCAAATCACTTATTAATAAAGTCATTTGGAATGGCAAAGAAAGCCTTCATTAAGATTCTTTGGATTCATCTTCAATGCCTCCTGGATGCAGTTCAACAGATGATTCATCTGAAAAATCTACCTTCTGTCACTTTTCCAAATGATCAACTGAAGTCAAGTTATTATTTGTTGCTCTTACAACTGGGATTGATGATAAGACTTTTGTCAGGTAGTGTAAGTTGGTGTTCTGATCTTGTATAATTTTACAGCATATTTCATCTACATTAATCTTCATAACTACAATTTACAACAAAACTACAATTTGTAGTGACTTATTAACATGCTCTGGAAAAAGAATTAACTAATTGATGTTAAGCAACATCATGTTAAGTACATTTGAACTTTTCCTTATTTTCTTTGAACTGACTTTCACTTCTTTTGATCGGATCCTTCCTTGTGGCTCTGAGACTGTAAAGCACTAACAGATTTCTTCATTTTCATAATCTTCAGGGCTACAGTCTTCATTCTCATCTCTCTCTCTGTAATGATGCTGCGCTCTGTTTCGAGCAAATCAACTCCTTTAGCAATTTTTTCCAGAATAAGAGTTTCTTGTTTCATTTTCTCAAGTCCTACAATACGGTCCTCAAAGCCAGGGGTTTTCTCCTCCTTCTCGGTTTTGATCAGAATTTCAAGGTATTCTGCTGTTGAGAGAGATTTTGGCTTCAATGCAATTTCGTCCAGTCTTCTTATGCAATCAGAGGACAGTTTGATCAACTTCATTAGCTTGTCCTGAATTAAATGCAGTTCTTTTTCAAGTGCATCAAGTATTTGCTTGGAGTCCATAAACTTTCCTTTTGCCTTCATGAAGTTGTCCTTTAGTTCTTTAATGGTTTTTTTCTCTATTGTTGTCTCATATGTCCACATGAACCTTTCCCTTGAATGAGCAGAGTAATGGCAGTTTTTAGGGCAGATGATGCAGTGGTTGGCCTCCATCACAGCACAAGTTTGCATGGGGTCCGCTGCAGGCAAGAAGCAGTTGGAGTGGCATGTGAATAAACAGTTGTTGCAATTCATGGTAAAACAGTTCACTGGGGTTCTGTTTGCTTTTACCACCTCTACATCTTGCTCAAAATCCTCATTTTGTGCCATGTTCTCATTCTCATTTTCCAAACATTGCTTGAATTTTTTAATCTCGCTCATTTTAGAGAGACCAGCAGATATTTGAGGGGTCAGACTTGTCATAGCTTTCTCAAGGCGCTCCCGTTCCTCCAAGACCTTTATAGTGAGCTTCAGATCTTTACTTTCAATGGTCCCCAGTGCCTTTAAAAAAGCCCTCATCTGTTTAAAGGTTTTATCCCAGACAAGCTTGATCAGTTTGTCATCATCATCATCATCGTCATCTGAATCATTGTCAGAGGTTGTAGGCGCTTCTACTTTTTTGTCTGCATACATAGCTGAGTTGTTGAAGCTGAAATGCGTTGGTTGTCCCTTTTTATTCTTTTGACATGGCAGATCTGCTGCTTTGATGGCTTCTAGAACTGGGATCTCTTTACCATCAGCAAATGTCACCATAACTATAATGTTCTCTGCGATGTCTTTTCCAAAAGTGGATAAGATTGAGTCAAAGATATACTTCTGGTTGGCACTCAATCGGGCAAGAGAGGCCTGGACAACAAAGCAGACGGCATCAATGTGATCGATTCCCAAAGGGCTGCAAAGAAAGCTTTTAAGCTGCTCTGTTATCAGTTTGTCATGTGCAATTCCTCTTGTGTCCCCAAATCCTGGAGTATCTACGATTGTGAGGGAGTAGGGAATTTGAAAGCCAGGCTGATTGTACAGCTCGTAAGATGAGACTTTAGATGTCTGACTCTCTGCTTGTGAGCGATTCGTCACTTCATTGATCAGTTTAAAGCGATAGCCATCCTCCCACTTTACTCCAAGTATGTAATTGACCATCACATTGATCAGCGTGGTTTTTCCTGCTCCTGTTGATCCTAGAAGAAGAATGACTTTGTTTTTCACATCCTCCACTTTTTTTCCAAATACATACTGATTAAAATGGACACTTTCTACCATTTTGTTGTGAAGTGTCAGTGCATGGGTTGATGGATTTCCCTTTTTTATTCTTGTTGCTTGATTCACGAACAGCTCACTCCCATCCTTATTTGATGGTTTACTCTTATAACTGGCTGAAAACATCATTTTGGGGCTGTGGAGACTCTCTCCATAATTTCCACATTTAGCAGAAACTCTGACTGTGTAATCTGTGTTTTCTTTCAGTCCCTGAAGAGTGCACTCTCTGCTTGTACATTTCACAGCGTTCCATCGCTTTTCGTTTTCCTGATCTTTTGTATATTCTCTGAACTCCAGCACATAACCAGTGACCAGAACATCTTCACCCACAGATGTAGGAACATCCCAAGCTACAGTTACTGACTCAGATTCAGCTCTTTTCACCGTAGGTGCTCCTGGAGGAGCACATGGACGAGTCTTAAAGAAAGATGTTGAGTCACTTGCTAGACTCACTCCTGGACGACACACAGCCTTACAGGTGAAACGATATTCTTTATTCGGCTGTAAGTGCTTCACAGTGACCTGATCTGAAACCCCTTCAGTAAACACCTCTGTCCATTCAGAGCTCTGTGCAGACTGATATGAGATACAGTAGGAGGTCACAAACCTTACACCACGGTCAGGAGGATTGATTTGCAGATTAATGCAGTCATGTTCAGCACTCAAGATGACCGGTGTTGGTGGTTTTGAGGGAAGCTCAAACTGGGAGTTTAAGAGTCTGCCTCTCTCATACACATGAATTGAAGAAGCAGAGCTGAGTTCATCTGGGATTGATGCAATGCAGAATTCAATATTCTCTCTTCCTCTATTGGCTTCTTTAAAATCTAGGAAGGCCTGTATAGTTTCCCTGGTAAGTGCAGTTACATTTCCTGAGGAAAACCATCTCTCTGTCTTCTTTGAAGAGTTTTGATCATAACTTTCTTGCTCTCCATTGTTGCGTGCTTGATTTTTCAGGTAATTCTCCAAGTCTAAAATGTACAGTTCATTTTCATCTAAGGAAGAGAGTGCAAAGGCTATGACATAGTGACTGGATGGCTTCAAGACAACCTTGTCCAAGTCGTTGCTGGATGAACAAACAGGAACATCTTTCATGATGTCCAGGTAAGATCTGACAACATTCATCTCTCGCTCTCGCTCTTGTAGATACTTGTTTACCAGAGCACCCTGAAATGGGGATCTTTCTTTGTCATTCAGAACATCAACAAGCTCTTGTTCTTCTGTTCCTCCACCCCTGATAGATGGAAGAAGACTGCAGAGATGTTTTTGAAAAACAGTTTTATACTCTGAGCAGAGGTCTTTAAATTTTCTTAATTTGGTTTTGATTTCGGGGAACTGAGTGGCGATATTGTCCCTCATCAGGTCTTGGCAGTGAATGTCACAGTTATCCAGTTCTTCCATGATCCGTTGTGCACTTCGCACTAGACTGACACTGATCTCCCTGACTAACTGTGCAGCTTGTGAATCTAGTTTTTTCAGGGGGTAAAGCCACACGGTTATAGGCACAGTGTTCTCTCCATGTTCTCCCAGCAGTTTTGGTAGCTCTGAGTACACCTTGATGGCATCCACATAAGACACTGGATTGTTCTCCAGGGCAAAATCTCCATGAAAAGTGCAGCTGAACTTATTTATTTTATCCTGTTCTGATTCACTTATGTTCACTGATGCCTGACCTTCAACTGATATTAAAGGAATGTTTTTGATTGCTGCTTGGAGCTCACCATGTATCTCTTGATGGTTTTCATTAGATGAAACCTCTCTGTCAAAAATGAAGAACGCTTGAGCTCCGTACAGTAGACCTGTAACAACATGTGTGGCTGAGCCCTCCTGCAGTACATTGCAATGCTTTATGTTCCCTGCTCCCAGATGCTCCATAGTTAACTGCTCAAAACGTGAGGTTGTTCGATATTGTAAGGTCACTCGAGACTGATGTTTAGATTTCTTTTTATTTTTTAAAAAGTCTGCTGACCCTTTCACTTTAACTAATCCACCTATAAAGCTGGCTTCAAGAGATGCAGAAATATTCAAGGCTTCTGCTTTGTCTTCGCTTGAATCTGAGGCAATGATTTTGAAGTCAGTATTGGGCTGTGGCCGTACATTAATATTCTTCTTCAGCATCTCAGCATCCCAGAGAGTTATTCCTTTAAAAAAATTGCATAAGTTAACCCAATATAAGAAATAGTATTTAACAAAGTAATAACACAGTTCATTTGAATGGTTTCCTCCACTGTGTTATCAGTTGGCATTTCCATGTGCTTTTTATTACCTGGAATGAGGACATCTCTTCGGCAGTCATAAAGCATGCCCAGCTGAAATGGTCGGCCAAGACTTGCCAGTTCAATGGTCTCAGTTGCAGACATCTTTCTAGTGTAAAGTTCATTGAGTTATTATAAATGTTCAGATTTACTGAGTCATCAGAGTGGTCTCTTAGCTATATTCTGAGAAAACGAAAGTGCTTTTAGACCTAAGAAAGCTATAAAATAATTTATAAGACTAAAACAAAACTTTTACTAATATTATGCTATAAATCAAGTATTCATTTATAAAATACAACAAAGTTATTCTTATTGTAATGCTTTTTAGATCGATCACTCAGATACCTTCAAAAGCTCATCACAACATATCTATCTCATCTGTGATACAGTTTTTAAATAAAGATTAAGCTTTTGGTTTGGTCAAAGGACATTGTAATATATTAAATTTTATAAACTTTCAGCTTTGAAAACACATTGCAGCTTGGCTTCACTTGACTTTTTTGAAAGAAATATATACACACCTTGGCAGTGTGGTTACATTTATATTCATATATAGTTTACTTTTGGCTAAAAACAATGTTTTTTTAAATTCCCTTCTTTAATGACATTTTGAAATACAGCATTGATGAAAATATTGTAATTTAAGCTACATACCTTTCCCCCCCACTATATTACTTCAGAATGTTCTGTCCGCTTCTGGCTTAGACACTGTTCATTTACATCTGAACTCTGCAGTTTTATATATCAAAGCCACTCCTTGCAACTCTGTGATTGGGTAGACAAGATACAGCTAATCTGCCTTCTTACAGAGTTGATATCTGTAAAAAAAAGAAGTAGAAGCAAAATATAGAACCTTTCTTTAATGTTTATGTAAATAAAATGCATTTGCATAAACTAAATAAATGTGCAAAAGGTTTTAGTTTCAGCAAAGGTACTTGTACCAATGCAAAATGTCTAATCAGGTCATAATGTCCTGGCATCATGAGCAGTTAGATAACTAAAACAAAAGCAATTCTACACTTTTACCTTCACTTTCGGATGTAAGTTGATCCTTATCAGAAGAACCTAATTAGGTATATGGTGTTTCAAAGTGTTTTGTAAATCAGTAGTTCTATGACCATTGACCTGCTATAAACAGTAAACGGCAGATTTAATGGTATCAAGGGGCATGGCAGTTATGAAATGTTTTCAAAGCTTCTTTTTTGAGCAATGTACTGAAACAAATCATCTGCTAGACATTTGTCATTTTTATCACTTCACCCATTTTAATTCAGAGAGAAATGAAAACAAAAACTAATTTATTTGAGAATAATAGATTCACATTCCCCTTTACCTTATCTTAAATCATTAATACCAAAACTATGCACAGAAGAAAAGGGGTGTGTGGAAGCAATATTTACATTAAAATAAATGTTAATGTTTGATAGCAAGACTTTATTAAGTACACCTGTCCAGCTGCTTGTTAATGCAAATTTTTAATCAGCCCGTTACTCGTTACAACCGAGGTATGCAGAAGAGCATGTCTGAATGCACAACATGTCAAACCTTGAGGCAGATGGGCTACAGCAGCACACTGGGTGCAACTCCTGTCAGCTAGAAACAGGAAACTGAGACTACAATTTGCACAGGCTCACCAGAAATGAGCAATAGAAGATTGGAAAAACGTTGCCTGGTCTGATCAGTGTCGATTTCTGCTGCAACATTCGGATGGTAGGGTCAGAATTTGGCATCAATAACATGAAAGCATGGATCCATCCTGCCCTGTATCAACGGTTCAGACTGGTGGTTTATCATGCATGTGCAGCCAACAAATCTGCAGCAACTGCATGATGCTATCATGTCAATATGGACCAAAATTCCTGAGGAATATCTCCAGGACCTTGTTGAATCTCTGCCACGAAGGAATAGGCAGTTTTGAAGGCAAAAGAGGGGTTTACCCGGTACTAGTAGGGTGTATCTAAAAAACGTGGCCGGTGAGTGTATATACTCAAGCCAACTGCACCAAAAACCAACAAATGTCTCTTTTTTGTTATTCACAGAGAATGTAATTCTTTCTATAATTAATATATTTTTCAAAACGCCAATCCAATTCTGCATTTGTGGTGGCTTGTGGTAGCAAGGATGATTCTATACATATATTTATTTTTCCTTTTCAAGAAAAACATTGACGGCTTACCCAAAATTAAAATACCTCAAAACTGAAATCAACAAGTGTTTAAAATCTTTTCTAAAATATTATGTATATCTTTACAAAAGCTTCAAATATTAGGACATAAATGTGAAAGTATGTATTTGAAAATATACCCAAAATAGGTGTCACGGTGGCTCAGTGGTTAGCACTGTCACCTCACAGCAAGAAGGTCGCTGGTTTGACTCCATGTTCGCGTAGGTTTCCTCCGGGTGATCCGGTTTTCCCCCACACTTCAAAGACACGTGGTATAGGTGAATTAAATAAACTAAATTGGCCATAGTGTGTGTGTGTGAATGTGTGTGTATGGATGTTTCTCAGTACTGGGTTGCTGCTGAAAGGGCATCCGTTGTGTAAAACATGCTGGAATAGTTGGTGGTTCATTCCACTGTGGCGACCTCTAAAAAAGAGACTAAGCCGAAGGAGAATGAATATAACCAAAACATGTGAAAGTGTTTAACGTTCTGTGATCACAGTTCTGAATTTTACTCTGTGTACCGATAAATAAAATAAAAAACTCCTCAGTGTTCTGTTGAAGCATTTTATTAAGCATCTTTTTACGAATCTGCAAGTATTACGTCAATAGACAATGATTTAGTTTCTCTTTTACATAGATTAAATTGTCATGCAATCATAGGTAAACAGTACCCTTTGTAACTCATGCTGTAAAAGTGTATCATGTTTCAAGGTCACTTCAGACAAAAACAATTGCGATGATGGTTTCTTATTTAAGGTGAGGACACATAATGTACCTTTTTTGACATCACTAGTGCTCTGAAGTTACAGTGGAAACAGTGATAATATTGATATCATGTTTTCTGAAACATTAGATCTGAATAAACAATGTCACAGTTGTTTTAATGTTTTAATCATTTATAGTCTAATATGAGTTATTTTCTCTATGGGCAATTACACAATAAATAGCTCCCATAATTTCTCTTATTTCACTAAAGAACTGTTGACAGAAACTTTAGTTGATAGTGTTGATAACTTGTGGTTAAGTTTCCTTTTCTCTGTGAATCCTCGTCTTTTCTTCTTGTTCTCTATTTCTATTCTCTGTGTCCACTCTTCTCCTTTCTTCTTCTGTTCTTTGCTGAAACTCTTTTTCTTGTTGTAGCTTTTGAACTTCTTTCTCGAGTTCTTGCTTTTTTGCTTGAGCTTCATTACGTTCTCGCTCTGCTTTTTCAGCTCTTGTGTTAGTACCACCCATTTTCGACCCTTTGAGGAATTATATCTGATGCTGTAAAGGAGAAAAATAAAGAAAACTGTCACAAAATGAAATAATGTTCTTTAATGTTACAGAAGCACAGTTTTATTTCATGCTAAATGAATTTAAGTACATTTGGTGATATCCTAAAATTACAATTACACACACTTGTTTTTGTGAATTTTAGAGACATTACATAGGCTTCCACTGTTTTTATACTGTACAAACTGTATTTTGAATTGCCCTAACCTCACCCTACCCCTAACCCCAATCCTCACAGGAAACTGTGTACAGTTTTACTTTCTAAAAAAAAGCTCATTGTGTGATTTATAAGCTTTTTGAAAAATGAGGACATCAGCAATTTCCTCGTCACCACCTTCTTGTAATACCTGTCATACCTATGTCATTTTACAGATTTGTGTCCTGATAGGTCACAAACACACACGCTATAATATATCATATATACAATAAAAATATTTGATTTAAGGTCTAAATAGTTTGTGGTTATGTTGAACTGTCATTATTAACTGAAATTCAACACTAGTTTTACCATACTTTTAGCTGTTTACTTTTAGCAACCAAAAAACATTGAATAAAACAATGATTCATTCATTAACTCTTGATGTTTCTTTCTATAAAAAAAAAAATAGCATTGTTTCAAAAAATGACTTTACTGTAACATCTGAATCTGGCGATTACTTGCCAAAATACTTTGGCTATTTTAACCTAAGTTTTAATAAAAACTAAAAAAATTTGGCACAAATTTGTGTTACCTGCTCTCCTTCGGTAGTGTTTCAGTGTCTTTGCACTTTTCAAACACAGCTGGAATTTATGGACTCCTAGAACACAACACCTTTATAGAGCCATGTTGGAATACTGTAACTTTGATAGATGTGCGTGTGTGTGTGAATGTGTAAAGAACGAAAGAAAGAGAAAGAGAGACGTAAATTTCCATATTAGATCTCCTTTTCTGCCTGCATTTCTACATTCATAATTGTAATTATTTTAAAGCTGCCTTTTTTACATTATATAAGTTATTTTAGAAATATGTTTTGAGAAAAGCAATGACAATATATTTACCTTTGATAGCAGTGTATATCTGGTTGATTAAGGCTTGCTTCATGTAAATAAAGTTCTGCTGCTGGATATTTCTGGACACTGATGTTGACGCAGTGCTTGCTAAAACTGACTGTAAAGATTTGATCTTAATTGTCATGTAAGGGGACTTTCACACGAAAGAGTGTTGTCAGAAAAAAAAAAACATCAAATGTCAAAGTCCTTTAGTTTTATGATTTAATTGCAAGGGTTTTTCCATATTAGGGAGTGTTGTATGATATGCATGTTTAAATAAGAGTTTATTACAAGCACAACTGCAAAATGAAAGGATTCAGTTGACCATCAAAAAAAAAAAAAAAGATGATTTAATTTCATTTTCATTTCATTCAATTTATTGAGTTCAAACAGAAACAGGTAAACACGTCTAGTGTTTAAAATCTTTTATTTGTTATAACTTAAAATAAATGTTGTCTATAAGTTCTTACAAGTGTCTGACACTCCTCAAACCTTAAACTGTTAGTGTACAAAGGAGTTAAGCTTACTGTATTGTTTGTTTGTATCGCTTCTTTCAAATCTCACCAAAGATATTCAATCTTTGCTTCGTTGGCTCCTGGTCTCTCTCTCACTGTAATGTTATACATCTTTACACTACCT